AGGGGGAAAAAAAAAAAAAAGAAAAAGAAATGGAAAAAAGCCATTGAGCTCTGCGGAGGGGATTAGGATTTACTGTCATATCAGGTGAATTCAGGTCAATGAGAAGCTGYGACCAGATTTTATCTCAGCTGATAATAAAACATCCTCTTCACAGGGCTAAAAGCAGGGATGTTATTACACATCCTATTTAAACTGACTCACACAGCCAGGCTTGAATTGCTACATAGAAGCATAATTACTTACAGGATCTTTCTTTTCTAGGTTTTTTTTTTTTTATCCAACATCGTGAGGTTAAGAGTCTGTAATATGATGTTCTCCTTAAAAAAATATTATTAAATCATATAAAGGAAAAAGGAGCCTGAGAAAGCAATTTTATTCTCAGCTTTGGTCTAGCTCTTTTACAGTTAYGGGCAAAGCCCTTAAAAATTTCCTTGTCTCAGTTTACTGAACTGTGAAATGACAATAACACAACTGCAGCTCTGGGATCTGGGAGGGCTGATGCTTTAACTGTGCCATGAGTTTTTTATATGCAGGATGTGAAGAAGTTTAAAACATTATTATGCCATTATCTTTTATACTTGTTGTATACTTACTGCTTGCAAATGCATTATTTAGTCCTCCAAGAAGTGATTTATAGCATGTAATAATATATATTTCTATTTCTCAAAATAATGACACTGTGTGCCTTTCAGCAAATAAGTAAATACAAATTTTATGACCCTTTTGATTATCCTTAGGAAGTAAAAAAAATTACATTTCCGATAGCTGTATCATACTGACAAGAAATATTCCGTTTCAGTAGATTTAAGAACTGAATTATATTTTTACTACTGCTGATGAAAGTTCAGCAAAGCAGATCTATCAAATAAATATGTGAAAATAATGTTGTTGTATGTTACAAAACTTATTCTTAACAACTTGTATTATAAGTTGATTAAATCAAACTGCTAAAATAGATATACTGATTTTTTTTCCCCTGGGTTTTATTTTTGTAACACCCCTGAAATAATTTTTAAAATAGCATTTCTCAYAGCTGAAAAACTCCAAATATGTGTTTTGTCCCACTTGGGATATTTAGGGCTAAAATAGCTGTTAATTTGCATCTGATGGTGAGATGTTTATTTTCAGAATGAAATGTAAACGTTTTCTAAGATGTGTCATATCCATTTCACACATTTCATGAAACACTGTGGGCATCTGTTTATTTGCAATTTTTGCATAATTTGGCCGTAGTTTGCTTGCTATTTTCCCATGAATGCTTTCCAAGGGAGGAAAAATACGCAATATGCAGAGTGTTTAATGCAAAATGTCCTTTTAACAGAAGCTGAWCTTCACTAAATTGGTCTTTAGGAGGCATTTGCTTTATATCTCTCAATTATCCCTTCCTATTTCTGCTGGAGTATGATCACGCACCTGATTTATTATTATTTATTCCCAGTTTTTTTTCCCTCCTGGCCTCTCCTGTGGCTGAGCCCTTGTTTAAATGTTAGCAGCTGYCTGGAAGTGACCTTAACTCCAGCTGGGAAAACCTGGTTGTGTTTCCTTAGCAAAAATGTGGGGAGATGAATGTTTCCTTGGGAATAACCACGARGKTATAACCATAATCTGTGTTTTGTTYGTGGGGAYAAGGCATGTGTGGATAACATCCCTGCTTCCCTGAAACCTTGGGATAACTTGAAGAAAAGCTGTGCCTGCTCATCCTGTGCAAACACACTCGTGCAAGACTGACCCTGCACGTTAGAAATTGAGGTTGGCTCGATTTGTTGAGAAATTGGCACTTTGATTGCCACCAAACCAAGCCCTGAGTGTGATTGAACACTGAATATTAACGAGATCAACGTGCATTGCCACAGACCACAGAAATGAGCTTGTCTTGGAGGCTCTGAGCTTTGTGGGAAATGCCTTATTTCCTGGTTTCAGGTGGATGGGAGCTGAAACTATTCTAAAGAAGATTTTGCTGATTCTGTTCTTGTCTCCATCAGTAGCATCTCCTCAGCTCATCCCTTGAGAAGCTGATATCTGCCTGTCCTTATCACRCCACAGCTGCTCAGGAAAGAGGTGAAATCTCCTTGCAGAGGGCACAGGGCTGTTCTGGAGGCAGCTCTGAACCCACCCCTCGTGTCCCTGCACTGCCCTGCTGCCTGTCCAACCTCCAGCACCCTGCTGCTGCCACCTTTCACTCTGCAGAAAGGTTTCTGTCCCCTCTCCAGACCCAGAGATCAGCGCTGTTCCCTTGCTGTGCCCTCCAGCACCCCTGTACCCCCTCCCAGGCTCTTCACACCCTCTCTTCTTGATGCCCTGAGTGCTCATTTCTCACATCAGAGCCCTTCTGTGCAGTGCAAGGCTTTCCAAGTCACACCTAATTCCTTTTCACAAAGAGCCATCTCACAAACCTCATCTCCAGCAGCAGAGAAATGTGGAGCAGACAAGAAAAGGTGTTCAACTCATCTGCACAGGACCAGTCAGTAACAACTSCTCCCTGTCCCAAACTAAGATGAACCAGCTTTTATTGATTTTTAGCAAAAATCTTTTTCTCCCCACCTCATGCTGAAGTCACGAAATCGTRTGAACACAAGCTTTGACAGCAGATCCCCCAAACGAGCGAGCTAAGGACAGCAGAAATTGCTCTGCAAAATCAGCTTCTCACAAGCTGTGTTGGAAAGTGGGCAGGGRAGGCAGCAAGAAGGGTTCTCTTCCCCTCATTAGCAGTCCCAGATTAGCTCTGTTGGTGTGCAGGMGGCTGGAGCTGGGATTGGATACGGACCCAAATGTCTCCTTGCTTATTCAGAGCTTATCAGAACAGCCTGAACTTTCAGCCCTGCAAATAGTGAGCTGGAAAAAGCAGAACGAGCTCTCTGGGGAAGATTTCGTGTTCATTTTTACCTGTGGYTGGGCCAGAAATACTTCAAAGATAGATTTCCTTGTGACATTTGAAGTTTTCTCATTCAAGTGCCTGCCAGAGCTCGAGCTCTACAGAGGTGGATATTTRTGGGGCCAGAGTTTCAGAAAAGCTCAGCTTTCACAGAGTCACCAAAATAAATGACCTGCTTTTCAAAAAAAGGTCTCATCACTGAAAAGACACCAGGCCTTGTGTCCCACAGGGAGCTGRTGAATTCCAAAGTCCCTTTGAAATCAGGATCTAATTGTGACAGGTTTGCTTTTAGATATCTGACCGGAGATATTTCGAGCTAGAATTTTTCAGGGGTTTGTGACGCAAAAAAAGTTACTGAACTCTTTAAGGCACAAAAGTAAGTACAAAGGTAGCTAACTACAGAGAGAAATATCTTGATCCTCAAGTTCAAACAAAAAARGGAGAAACAGAAAAGTGAATATGACCTCAGTACACCAAGGGGAGAGGTTTGTACAGGGATAATTACCTACTGCCTTTATCACAGGAAAGTAATGTTAATAGGATGGAGTCAAGGGCCGGGGTCTAGTCCCAAATCTGTATTTATTTTGCATCAGGCAGGGCTTCTGGGCCAGCATGTGTGACCTGCAGCCCCCGATGGCTCCCTGTGACCCCAGAATTTGTCAATCAAGTTCTCTCTCCCTCCTCAAGCAGCTACTCCAAGAGCTGCTTTATATCCCTTCCAGATGCACTGTCCTTTTGCGTGGCTGGCTCTCACTGCGGGCCACACTGGATCCTCTCCTGATTCCTGGAGATCTGGGAGTCTTTGCTGTCTTTGGCTCATGGAATTTGGCTGGCCTATTGTTCAAGGGAAAAAGTTGTTCATCTGAACTTTTCCACCCAGTCTCGCTCTCGTAACTAAGCCTTGTATTTTGACCTCAGGGAGATGTCAGTGGTGATGCAAAAGGGATGCTGCCAGTAGCCTCAGCTTTAATCTGCCTGCTGYACTTGAATTGCATTCCACAGACCTAAAAAGAAACCTCCATTGACTGCATCTGATCCAGGACATATGGGCTAGCTGAGAAGTTAGCAGGCAGAAGGAACTGACTGCACAGTTGATTTGTCAGTTGGGACTTTGGGCTGATGAAAAGGAAAATTTGTAGTCACTAGACTCTCCTTTAACTTCTCACCTATTTTTTTCCTTGAACAACCTTTTGAGCTCTTCCCTGTGGACCTGCAGAGTATGAGATGCTTTGCCCAGATCCAGTCCACAGTGACCAACACTGGGGCCACAGCACATTCTGACACAATTGTGCTGCTTTTGGGGAGCTGCCTTCTCAGCAGCTCAAGTGTGAACCCCTCTTGAGTCAAATCCACCCAGATCCATCCATGCACGACTATGCATGACATACAACACAAGAAGAAAGCCATGAGAAGATCCTGAAACCARGATCTGAAACCTGGAGCTGCTCAGTGCATTAGAAGAGCTGATCGCCAGCGGCACTTACCCAACATCCCTTTGTTGGAACTGGACAAGCACATATCCTTCTCAGCACTGGGGAGAACAAATCCAACCACAAACACCTCCACCCCATCTGCCATCAGTGCCAACCCTAAAACAAAGAAGAGAGTCCACTGGAAGCGTCCGTGGCCGCACTCCTCGATGATGTTCTCGTACTGGTGGGCGAGCTGCTCCTCGTCCTCCATCCTCTCGGCCATGAGGTCAGCACGGTCTCTGTACTCATCAGCTGCAGCAGGGGCTCGTTTCTTCTGCTTCTCTTTGAGGTCATCKGGGTGTGGGATCCCTTGGTACTCCCCCTCATAGACCTCATCATCCTCATCGTGGCCTTCTGTCACGTCACTCTGCGCGTCCTCGTCCTGCGCGGGCTCGCCCCCGCCCCGGTAGTAACCATCGTTGGGAGCGTCGTAATTGCCATCCTGGTACCTGTAATCATCTGAGACCTGGTTTGTGTTCCTGTACCCATCATCCATCCTGAACAGAGGGTTCTAAGCGCCGCAGATCGCTGCKTGTAGGTGCTCTGGAAATGCGTGTGGATTTGTGCAATTTCTGGGCGCTGGTTACATGAACATCTCTTCTCTCCTTCCTTTGGAACTGATGGGATGCAAAGCTTCCCGGGCTCAGAAGGAGAATTTATATATAAAGGTTCTCTTTGACAGAGTCTCACGCAGCTTTTGGTAATGCTTCACTTTTCAGCTGTCATTTGTGACTTGCTGGCTTCTGTGCTTTGCTGAGAAAAGCTGCTGTCTGGGGAACAGCGAGGGAGCAGCAAATTGCACAGCCGGGGAGCTAGGAGGATTTGCCAGGTTTTTCCTGATTCATTGTGGTGGTGAAGGTCACGTCCTAAGAAGAAAAAACAATAGCAGTGAGACAGCAGCAAGCTTGCAAGCACACATGCACTGAGTTTAATGCCAAACATTTCGAATTCATGATTTTCCTTTGAAAAAAAAAAAATGGCGACAGAGGAATGCTTTTGCATCATCAAAACCCAAAGCCTCAGGGAAAAAACAGCATTAAAATGTTCCGAATTCAGTGGGAACCCAAAGCAGAATGTAAAGGGCCATGTGGTCCCAGTTTCTGTCGTTCCTGGAAATCCTTCCTCCCATAGAAAGCAGAGCAGCACCTGGTCCCTACAACTGGCTAGCGTCATGATGAGACAAAATGTGATCTTGGTTTTCTTTTTCATCCAGATCCCAAAATTAATTTTGTTTATTGGTTTCTTTCTTTTCCCCCTAGCGTCTCTCCATCTGTATGCCAGATGTACAACTGGCACGCAGTGTCTGCCAAGATAAAGTCACCAAAAGTCACACTGAGCTCTGTTCTCCCCATATCTAAACATCAACAGGGGATGACTTTCACAGAGAACAAAAAAAACCCAAAGCTAATACAGAATCACTGCTGTCTGCAGGGAAAACYGAGGGAAGTCGAGACACATCTAAACACATACTCATTCTGGACACCTGATTTCCATTATTTTCCAGCCAGTTGGCTCTCCAGAGTTCCCCTGCCTCCCACAGCTGCAGACACGGAGTTTGGAAGGAGAAGCACACRGGGAAGGGAGTGGAGTCACCCCAGAGCAGCCAGCACAGCGTAGGCATGCACAGAACGTGGACTTTGCTTCAAGCTTGGAGCTCCTCGCCTAAATAAAGTGTGACAGAGCTCTGGATTGACACGGGCAGGCACAAACTGGGGAAATGTGGGCGCTGTTACCTACACAGCCAATCGACCTAAGGAAACGCACACTCTGTAAATAACAGTGCTATTTGCAGCTGAAATGACTTCAGAGCACAAATTCAGTAGCACTCTCTGTAACAAAATGCTCAGAAGGGCGTCACTCCTGCTGCAAATGCTGTCATTTTCTGGCAGCCCAAATGCTCAGGGTAAGGAAGGAGCAGAGGTTTGATTCCTCTGCGTGGATTAATGACCATGACTTGCCTGTGCTGCTCATGGAGCTGCTCCAAGGAGCTCCATAAAARCTTCCTCTGCATTTCTGCTTATCTMCCTTTATATTTGTGACCTGTAATTACAGCACAGCCTCTGCTGAGCCTGCCAGAACCTCTTTCTTTTCTCCTGCTCTGCTATTTGTCACGACGTTCAACGTGTTTCCTCTYCCCTTTCTTTATGCTGAATCACACCATACATTTTGCATGAAGAGCAAAAGGCAGCAGGGCATTCTTCCAGGCCTCAAAAAGAGCAATCAATGAAGTCATAGAAAAAAAAAAAATTAAAAAATCCCAGAGGCATTCTGGTTAAGTTATAATGATCAGGAGCAGTAAAGAGAAGTATTTGCATTGGCACTGGAGCTGTTAATGTGCAGGGGAGTTAATGCATCTGACAGCCTTCAGAAGCACTTCAGTGAGTTCTACAGCTCTGGTTTCAATGCTGGAGAGTTACCTTTAATGGTTAAAAAAAATTCCAAAATTATTTTAGAGTCTCAAAACCTCCTGGGCCTGAAGTAACTTTCTTGATTACACRAAGATTTGTGTCATGCCTGAACATCATGTTCTCCAAGGCAGTAAAATGCAKTTCCACAGAGACATGTTTTCTTTAGAAAAGTAAGGGAAAAAGCCTTTCATTCAAAGAGAAAAAAACAAAAGAACAATATGTGCAAAAGAACATTAGGCCTTGCTTGGGRAAGTCTTTAAGACTCATCTGCTGGCAGGTCATGCTTCAAAGCGACCTCAAATGTTGGAGCAGGAAGCCCAGTGACCTCACCGTGTTTGTCTCTCTCTGGCTGCTGCAGAACTGAATTGAAAACTCGTTTTAGGAAAGGAATKAACAATAACACTAATGATCAATAGCAGAACTGATTGGATTCTGAGCCTCCACAGACCCGATCTCTCTTTTTAAAAGGTAGAAGTGTGTTCTTAAAAACCAAGTGTTGGAAATCTTTTTTTTTTGTTCTCTATTAAAAAACTACTGAGGCTTGAAGTTGGGCTCTTCACCTCCCACAACAAGAGGAACAAAGATCTCAAACTTAGAAAAGACCTATTGAAGCATCCGTGCTCTTTCACTGGCACACAAAGATTGGCATTTAGCAGATGGAATCACAACTCGGGCAGCCTAAGAAATAATGACATGAGCTGATGAGTCTGACAGACCAGTGACAGTCACCTGTGTGGGGAAAAACTGAATTCAGGGAAAAGGTCACAGCAGAAAATAGTGCCTGGGTTCCCATTCAGTTTGTGGGATGGGTATTTTCTGGGATCACCCTGGGAAAAGGGGCAGCGCACAGAGGCAGGCTGCAGCTTTAGAATGCCACACTTTCCATATTTCACACCACTTGTTTTCTTTCCCTGTCACATATGCACAGGCTGATTCACTCTAGACCTGATTCTTCAACACCCTTTCACTCAAGCTGAGCTGCACTCGCTCATGAACAGCCCCACTTAGCACTGAGATGCCAAATCATGATGTGTCATAAAGAAGGCAGGCTCGGGCTGCTATAATTACCCTTCCCAGTGATGCRTGAGAGCTTGAGACAAATATACATCACACCAAGGCTGGTGGGGCAGGGTGGGTGTCAGCCTCTTCTCCCARAGAACAAGCAACAGCACAAGGGGGAAGGGCCCCAAGCTGTGGCAGGGAAGTTTCAGGCAGGATTTCAGGAAAAGTGCATCATCTGAAGGGTTGTCAGGAGTTAAAACTGCTGCCCAGGGMAGTGGTGGAATCACCATCCCCGGAGGGATTTGGGAGATGTGCAGATGTGGCACTTGGGGACAGGGTTTAGCTTGGCACTGCTGGGTTAATGGTTGGGTTTAATGATCTTAGAGTTCTTTTCCAATTTAAATTATTCTAATTGCAACCTTTGGYCATTTTAAACTGGCAGTTCCCTTTCTGAGATACACAAGTGATGTTTAAACACACAACAAATGTCTGTAGGGGCAGAGTCTGCAGGGGTGGGAAGGCAGAGGCAGGAAAGCCTTATTTTGGGTGTCCCCAAAACAGCCCATTAAACTGAGTGTTGGACACAAAAACCTGGAATAAATCSGAATTCAGCTCCTTTCCTCCTTTCTGTAAAACACACCATCCACCTTGCAGTTTTCTTGTACTTTCCAGGTCTTTATTTAGCTCAGATTTCGTTTACTTAACCAGGAATTCAGTCATTCGAGCTCTCCAACTTAAAATAGTATCCTAAAGGTTTGAATATCGTCATAAAAGAAATGGCACCTGCTCTAGGAAAAAAGGATGTTTAGGAAAAGCAGATTAACACCTGCATTTGCCTYTGTGAGAGGGCACACAGGGAGATCTGGGATGCTGGGGAGAGAAACTGGGAACTGGGGAGGATGCAGAGAAGGATGAGTGTCTTGTGTCTGGTACTAAATGAAGAGAGCCCTGAGCTTGTCAGAGAGCTGAGCTCCAGCAGAGAGCAGAAATTACATCAAATTAGAGAGCAGGGCAGACGTGAGGAGGGTTTGCTAATGAAATATTGCACTTGGGACGTGATGGAGTTTCTGGAAGAGCCAAGGGAGCGAGGATGTTGCTTTGTGGAGCCACGAGCAGTGGGTGCACACACAGAAATGCAAAATGCAGGGACAGAGCCAACCAAAGGCTGGGAGCTGCCAACCAGAGCCTTCCTTTCTGCTCAGAAAGGGACAGCACCCAAAATCCACAGTGGGACAGAGAGGTTGTTTGAGCACTGAGGAGAAGGACAGGGGCACCATAAAAATGCTTTCAAGGGATCTTCAGCGTTCACCAGAATAATCCCTGTGAAACAGATGGCAGAGCACTTTAATATTCTGCCTGAAGGGCAACTCCTCCTGTAAAACACCCTCACCTCCAGAGCTGTTTCTGCTGACAGCAATGGGAAGGTGCCCAGATCCTACAGTGACCATAAGGACGTTCTGCAGTCACGAAGCTGACTGTAAAAAAAAAAAAAAAAAAAAAAAAAAATTCTTGAGAGGAAATTTTCCTCGCTGAAAGGAGGAAGATAATTATGCAGATAGGTTTGTGTGAAGCTTCAGTCTCAGGTTCTTAATGAGGTTGCAATTAACGGATTGTACACATGCAGGGATAGGTTTTTGGGGTGCCTAACAAGCCACAGCTCCCAGGGGAGCCAGAAATGACACCAAAATTATCAGGCAGGATGAGCAGTGTGGCAGTGAGTGATTATTGTGCTGCTGGACTGAAGTGTGGCTGGCTGAGCTTCCTGGGCTCTGTCCCTTGGCTTTTTGGCAGCTCTGTGTCCCTCCAGGCTGCACATCAGGACAGCACAGCCTTCCTCTGCTGGGAATTGCACATCCCATGCAGCTGTGTTATATGAATATAAAGATATCAACATAGGAATAGATGGCAACTCTTGTCCCCAAAACCTTAAACCTTAAATAACCCAGAATTTGGGGGTAAGAGCTCTTTGTGCTCCCTACCTCACAGCTGAGGACCAGAAAAAGTGCTCCCAAGTCTTTGTCAGGTTTTCAATGAAGCCTTGCAATCTAGTATTTTTTTTTTTTTTTAACTAAGAAAACTGCTGTTTTCCCTCAGGAGAATTTTGGGAATTTCCCTTTCTCCAACTCGTGTAATTAATAAAACCAGTTCTTTTAAAAATCTAAAAATTAGGCTGCAACCCCGTAATTCACAACAAAAACGCTTTCATTACAGGTCCATTATAAATTCTCCATCTTATACTGTGCAAGGTTGCCCTTTTCATTGGAATAAAAAAAAAAGGAAAAGCAGGTGCATGGAGATTTGTTTCAAACCGAAACAAAAGATTTCATTTAAGAAATGCCATTGTGACAGATGCTTGATCCATTTTTTATTAGATACATTTGATGAAACTGACTGTTTTCCCCCCTAAATAATTCAAATTTGGAAGAATGGCATTTTTTTATCWACAAAAATTGTAG